TTAGCAAGTAATTATATAATTATAATAAGTATTTATTAAATATTTATAATAAGTACTTAACAAGTACTTCTAATAAAGAAGCATTTAAATAATAACTTCTTATACTCAATGTCTTTATAGCAAAGTTAAAATTGTAATATATATTAAATTAGATTAAAGTTAAAATTAAAGTTAATATTAGGGTTTGGGTAACATAAAATTATGAGAGGGTGTGGTGACTTAGTGAAGTGGTTAAGTTGTCACACCCTCAAGCAGTATGTTGAATAGGTAGGGGGTTCAAACCTACTGTCAACGAATTTCGAAAAATTCTACTTGTATGATACTACTATCATCTATCAATCGGTTGGAATGGGATCTCTGTAACCTTTGTAGCACCAACAAGATTGGAAGATCATGGAGTATTTGTGCAATATATAAGTTATACAAATAAGTTCTCAGATCGTTGTAAAACCAAGAAACTGGAATGATTGAATACACGCTTAGCAAGACCTGAGTAGAGAGGTAGCACAAATCTTTGACAGTACTACATAAAGAACTATTACTAGAAAAGTAAATATCTGAACGGAATCAAAGTGTTTGGCAAAGCACTCCACCAACCAGACCGCTAGAAGAGTAACCGGAGGAAAAGAACCTAACCGTGGGGACTAGAAGCAGGTCACAGCCCTTTCAGACCATCTGGATTGGTAGTTTAGAAATTCTAAAAGTACAAAAGGTAGTCTGTAAAGTGGGTACTGGGGTTTGGGTGAACTTTACAAGAGCAGAAGTAGATAATGGTAGCGGCCTCAGCTTGCAAGTCTTGTTATCGGACTTGGCATAAGTTACTGAAGTCTAGGTTGGCTGGATTGTAGTATAGAAAGCTCTAGCAAGTTTACTTCGAGGATAAATTAGCCCTAGGTCAGGCGCTTCATATGGCAGATATTGGTTCCTCATAAGGATGTGATAGCACAGAGGGTTTAAATAGGTAATCCCTAGTTGGATTATAGATATGGTATCTAGTGTAGAATTTTCAGGCGGACTACTTAAAATAGACAATCAAAAGTTGTATATGTGGCTAGTTGTACTTTCTAAAACCATATACCAAATGAGTAGCAGCTAACTTCAATCAGCTTAGCACAAAAACTAATAAAGGCAACCAACCATAAGATCACTTTGATATAAAAAATAAAAAAATAAAAAATTACGAGAGGAACATTTTTGCTTATATTATACGAGAGGTATTATTTAGTCAAAATTTTGAGATATTAGCAATTTTAGAATTAAAAATACTAAATAAATAAAATACTAACTTAATAAAAAAATCAAAATTATTATAGTAATTAATAAATATTAAAATTATTTATTTATTTAATATTAAATAATTCCTTTTATAATAAAATTATCATCTGTCACGAGTGTCCTGTACATTTTTACTAATCATTTTGTTCATGTGAGAGCAAAATAAGAATTATCATAATTGTAATTATGATGTAATTGCCTTGATCAGATGAAGTATTGAAGTTGTCATAAGAAAATTTTGTTATTCTACAAAATCAATCTGATCTGTACCATGTAAATTATGACAATGATGTCACCTCTGCTGCATTTTGATAATCTATTTATTACTACATTTTTCTATGAACAATTACATCATTTTCTGAATTTAATAAATTTTCACAATAAATTACATCATAGTTGGTAGAAAACTCTTGGATTATTTAATTTCTAACGTGAAAATAATTGCAAAGAGTAATAGAAGAGAACATATTTAAAAGAACAACTTCTACTAAGAGAAAAAAAGAATACCTACGCATATCATATAACTTTTGTATATAATTTTCTTCATGTGAATAAAGACAATAAAATTCATTTGCTACCAAGATAAGTAATCCTTAATTATCATATAACACATCTGATACATGGGGTCTTTGCCTTGAAAATCACCTTCTGACATTTCAGATCAGGTTAATTCAGACAAAAATAAACCTGAGTACTAGTTCCTTTTACATTAATTCAATAATTATTCAATAAACTATTGAATTGGATCAATAAAGTTAAAAGATGATTAACAAATGAACATGAACCGGTATTCAGGTTTTTTTTTGTTCAAATTAACCTGATCAAAAATACAAAAGGTGATTTTCAAGGCAAAGACCCCACATATCAGTATACATCCAAATAAATACAGTTACCTGTATAATTAATCATAAAGCCCAAAACAAACATAACAAATCTAATATGTATATTATTAATTATAAAATCCCACAGTGCCCTTAAAATATAAAATGTACAATCAAAGACAAAATTAGCTGTATAATTATCCTTGCGTGCTTACAGTCAAGAGCTAAATTTTCGGTAACTAAGATTAAAAGTCTCTCCCCAAACCATAAAAAATTTGATATACGAATGTGCATACATACGTACATACATGAAATAATGTTAACGAGACTGATTATATACAAGACTAATAAAACAACCTTAGCACAAATTAAAGTAAAGGTATGTGTATCTTAATTTATTACTATTATCAAATCAAGAAAAGGGTACCAGAGCGCCCAACTTATACTTGTATAATATATAATAAATATTAAAATTAATTATTTATTTAATATTAATTATTTAATATATATTAAAATACTTAAAACTAATATTTATTTTATATTAAATTATAATAATTAAAAATACTTATAACAAATATAAATAAATACTTACAGAACACTAAGTATTTAAAAAATATTATTAACAAACATTTATTTAATAATAGCATTGAATTAATATAAGATTTCATTTGGTTCAACTTTGGAATGCACAGTCTATGTATCTTAAGACCTATTAACATTAGGATTCTTTAATAAAATCCCAAACTATATATATATACAAGAAGATAATATGATGTGACTAGAAAGAAACCCAGATAAAAACACCAATGACAACAAATTTGAAGGAATGTTTAACATTCTATATATACAAAATCTTATAGATAGATTAACACAAGAGATCTTTGAAAAACTATACTGAGATGAATATATTGAGAAAAGGCAACACTTTATGTGTCTTTTCTCATGTGATTGGGCTCAAACGAATAGAGGAAGAACACCCTCACACAAATAGAAATGCGTCAAAAGACAAATTAAAAATAGAAGAGGCTTTGATGAAGTACTAAATATAAACTATAACTTAACAGAAGCAAAACTAGAACAAGGAAGCTTTACTGCAACATACACATCAGTAACTCTCAAAATGCATCACGCCAATATTCATGGATACTATTTATGCATAACAGATATATTAGTGCAGAAGTACAAGCAGATGCTCAAGCAAAATTCAATGCACTAATATTCCAACCTAAATATGTTACATTACTTGAAGCACAACTATTTGAAGCTCAATTTTATAAAATGAGAGAAGATGCAGCAATCAACCAATTTTTTGAAGGAGGAGGTTGGACCAATTTAAAAGCAAAACTACCTAAAGGAAGACACCCTGGAGAAGACTACTTTTTCTAATTACAATTTACAGGAGCACCAAAATCGTTCACAACAGCTTTTGATGCAATCAAACGTATTTATAATGTCTATTACAATAGTGACGTAGGAACGCAATTCTGAACCAAATTTGGCAACAAATCTGAAACCAAAAAAGCATACTTTTTAACCAAAAAAAACTTAGCAGCAATAGATCTAAGCAAAGTACTATACTTTAAGTATGAAAAATATAGATATTTTCAAAAAGACTGTATAAGTACAAAAAGATATGCCAAATATCTAGAATAGATTAGTAAATCTACAAATAACAACAAAAACCAAAACTATAAAGAAAAGATCCAAGCTGATAAACTAAAGTACCAAAAATTATTGATAAGCTCAATGGCCAGATCAAAATATTAAACATCAAAAATAAAGAAAAGGAAAGGGAATACAAACTGCGAGAATATAAATCATGCAAACCAAGAGAATCTAAATCTCAAAATGAAAGAAACAATAAAACAAAACAAAAATCAAAACCATATATCAAAAAAGAAGGAACTTTCTAGCCTAAGCAAGAATTCAAAGAAACCAGAAAAAATTTCTAAAGCAAACCAATATACAAAGATTCAAATAAACCAATCAAGTTTAGCAACCCTAATAATGTAGGATATAAACCATCTACACCAAAACAATTTAACCCAAAGAAACGCGAATATAATCAATATGAAAAATATACAGAAGAAATCTGCAAACAAACTCAAGAACTTAAATTACTTGAAAAACTCTACAAGAAATTTGGAAACAAAGAAGTTCATAACTTTGAACAAGATAATGAATATATTCAATACTTGAAATTATATGAAAAACACCAAGAACTATTTCACTTCGAAAAAGAACCTTCTGAAAGTTAAGAGGAAGATGAACTTCTCAAGAACAGTATTTTTAAACAGGAGCCTGTGTGATACTCAGGACTCACTCCCAATACAATCTAATGGCTGTATCGCAGAGTTTAATCAAATATATAATAATGAAATATTTTATATAAATAAAAACATAAGTGAACCTTTGACTAAAGTAAATGATTACTCTGCCACAAATACTTTATATTGGACTAGTAAACCAGTGAAACCAAATTAGAACCAAAAAAGTAAAAAGATTTTATTTTTATAGAAAAATGTGTAACATACCTGTAGAATTCAAACTTGATAAAGGATCAACTTGTACAATAATAGAAAAGAATCATTTAGAACTCTTAGAAAAAAATAACCAGTATTTTCATTTCCAACCCAAGAAATTAACCACAGAAGCAGTAGGATCTAACAGTATTACTATAATAGGAAAAGCAACT